TTTTTTTTATTATGAACAACATGGTTTTTACAGTCCGCACTCTTTACAGTCTGAAGCTTTATCGTAGAGTCTTTTTACCGATTTAGTCTTCTCACGAAAGATTTTCATAAACACGGAATGGAGAGATGTCGTACTATTGCGTTTTATTTGTATCAAAAAAATAATAAGTGTCAAAATTACATTCGAACATTATGAAGTAGACAATGTTTTGATGCTGGATTTACGCTATTGAAACCAATATCTTACTTCGAGGTATCCAAGTTTTTCGACTTTTCAGGGTTCGAATTATCAGAGTTTTATTTTCGAAGATAAAAAAGAGACTTGGCCGAGACGGGAGAAATACTTCGAGATAAACAGGGTCTTCGAGATAACGAGGTTTGACTGTATGATTTGAAATTAAGTTGGATCATAAATGAACAGTTTGAAAAGGGGAGTAATTTTCCATGACTGCTCTATACCTAGGTGAGCAATACAGGCCCTTGGGCCTCTTTTCGTTATTGTCACGACTGTTAATGACACTAGCCAGCAGAAATATTGTACTTGATGATGATATATGGCAGGCTGAATTTTAACATATAAGGCCCTAATTATTTTTTTAGCTCACCTGGCCCAAAGGGCTGGTGAGCTTATGGCATGGCGCAGCATCCGTCCGTCAGTCCGTCAACTTTTCCTTAAAATCGCTACTAGTCATGAACAACTGAGCAGATTTTGACCAAATTTGGTCAGAAGCATCCTTGGGGGAAGAGGAACAATTTTTTTATAAACTGTGGGTCTGGCCCCCCTGGGGGCTGAAGGGTGGGCCCAATATGGGAAACATAGCCAATTCTTTAAAATCCTTCTTCTTCTGTAAGAATGAAAAGATTTGTTCCATTATTAGTCTGAAGCGTCCTTGGGGGAAGGGGAACCAATTTTGTATAAACTGTGGGTCTGGCCCCGCAATGGCCTGATGGGTGGGGCCCAATAGGGGAAATGTAGCTAATTCTTTAAAATCATTCTTCTTCTGTAGGATTTAAAGGATTTGTTTCATATTTAGTCTGAAGCATCCTTGGGGGAAGGGGAACCAATTTTGTATGAACAGTGGGTCTGTCCCCCCAGGGTCCTGAGGGGCGGGGCCCAATAGGGGAAATACAGCAAATTCTTTAAAATCCTACTTCTTCTGTAGGAATGAAAGGATTTGTTCCATATTTGGTCTAAAGCATTCTTGGGTGAAGATGAACCAATTTTGTATAAACCGTGGGTCTGCCCTCCTAGGGGAGGGAGGGGCGGGGCTCAATAGGGGAAATACAGCAAATTCTTTAAAATCCTACTTCTTCTGTAGGAATGAAAGGATTTGTTCCATATTTGGTCTGAAGCATCCTTTGGTGAAGGGGACTTAATTTTTTATAAACAGTGGGTCTGTCCCCCCAGGGTCCTGAGGGGCGGGGCCCAATAGGGGAAATACAGCAAATTCTTTAAAATCCTACTTCTTCTGTAGGAATGAAAGGATTTGTTCCATATTTGGTCTGAAGCATCCTTTGGTGAAGGGGACTTAATTTTTTATAAACAGTGGGAGAGGGGCGGGGCCAAAAAGGGTTATTTAGCTATAATTGCTGTAAGCGACTTCTTCTCTGGAACCAAGAGATGGATATCAACCATATTTGAGTGGTGGGGATTCAAAATTGTACAAATGGTGGGGCCGACCCGCAAGGGGGCTAAGGGGTGGGGTNACTGTAGGCCTGTATAGTGTAAGTTATTTCCGAAAAACGTACTTTCATTTAACGCGATCAAAACGGTTGGACCATATTATAAATTCGTTATTAAATATGGACGGGCTTAGTGATTAAATGTTGTTTTTGGCTAGTTTAGAACTTGGCAAAGTCTTTTCAGGTCTGCATTTGTATTTGCAAGTCCGTCAAGTTTTACTTCTGAAGTGTTACATTTAAAAATCGAACTATCCTGCTGTCTTCGTCCTCGTACAATACAATTCGGAAATGAAAGTGCGCAAGTCTAAAACAAATCACTGTTATGGAGCGTACGCATAGTTAATTCTGAAAATGAAAACACACACAAACATATTATATCGTACCTGTAACACATTAATTCATTAAAGCCAAATGTGACACCTGACACCTCCTCAACACAATGTAATGAACATTAATTATCGTATTGTTCTTAAATCTAACGATCGACTTTCAAAGCCATACTGGCTCCTGTAAAAATATGAACCTGTGAAGCTGTCGTAGGTTGTGATTTTAACTGTGGAACTCTTTTATGCATGACCACGCTTTGTGACAAATTTTCCAGTTTGCATTGTCGTCTGTTTTAGTGTACAAATCATTAAACGGATCGACTCGCAGTAAGTACGGACTCACAGTTAGTACAGAATACTGTTGATCAACATTAATGAAGTGGTTTTTTTTATTATGAACAACATGGTTTTTACAGTCCGCACTCTTTACAGTCTGAAGCTTTATCGTAGAGTCTTTTTACCGATTTAGTCTTCTCACGAAAGATTTTCATAAACACGGAATGGAGAGATGTCGTACTATTGCGTTTTATTTGTATCAAAAAAATAATAAGTGTCAAAATTACATTCGAACATTATGAAGTAGACAATGTTTTGATGCTGGATTTACGCTATTGAAACCAATATCTTACTTCGAGGTATCCAAGTTTTTCGACTTTTCAGGGTTCGAATTATCAGAGTTTTATTTTCGAAGATAAAAAAGAGACTTGGCCGAGACGGGAGAAATACTTCGAGATAAACAGGGTCTTCGAGATAACGAGGTTTGACTGTATGATTTGAAATTAAGTTGGATCATAAATGAACAGTTTGAAAAGGGGAGTAATTTTCCATGACTGCTCTATACCTAGGTGAGCAATACAGGCCCTTGGGCCTCTTTTCGTTATTGTCAC